CTTTGCTTTCTTTTGTCTACTCTCAGCCACCAAAGCTTTTTTACCGTTCCGGTCGTATGCCTGCTCTCAGCCACCACAGCAAGGAACCATACGAATCTTAACTATTCATTCATGTATCAGTTCATAATTTCTCTGAAAGCTCTTAAGTGTCTAAGCGACCTTGTCACAAACCAAAACATTGCCCTGACAATTCGGAGATACAGAAACTCAACATAAACAAACGCGGTCGTTCCACACTTGCCACGCAAAACACCGTGGCGAGTCAGTCGCCTTTTGAGAGTGAAGAAATCGACGAGCTTCGGAGATACTTCGCAGAATTTCAAATAAAGCTTTACAAAGTACGTTTAACTATAATTATGCATTCTCGCTTGTTAAGATATTTCAAAATAATACTCCAAAATGGCAAAAAGAAAGTTACCGAAAGAAGTGTACTGCGAATCTGAAAGTAACGATGAAGAGTTTTATTTTGGCAGTAAAACCAACAGCCTCAGATAAAGATGAAAGGCTTAATGGGAAACTGCATATATTGCGGCACTGTGAAGGTGTGAAAAGTAAAGATTGCTCTGTATGTTCAAACAGAAAGATTAGGGGCGGAAGACGCCAAACTAATTATTTTTGCGATACATGTAGTCGAAAACCAGGACTACATATTGGAGACTGCTTTCAAAGATACCACACAATGGAGAAATATAAAATATAATTTTTATATAAAAACATGTTATTGAAACACATTATTGTCTAAACATACATCTAATGTTCAAAAAAGAATAAATCTTGTTTATCCTTCATTCTCTTGCATGTTATGTATCACTACTCTTTCAATGGAAGTTAATTCCAACCAGGACGACACCCATGTCCAAATTTAATACGACCGCAAAGGGTTAAAATTCTCTCTAATGAGAAAAGTGAAGTGGAGGTCACACTGTTGTTAATGGCAGAGCCAGAATTTGAGCCTCAGGCTGCGGCTGCTCTCAGCCGTCACGCTCAGGGCAACTGCATGTTATGTATCACTACTCTTTCAATGGAAGTTAATTCCAACCAGGACGACACCCATGTCCAAATTTAATACGACCGCAAAGGGTTAAAATTCTCTCTAATGAGAAAAGTGAAGTGGAGGTCACACTGTTGTTAATGGCAGAGCCAGAATTTGAGCCTCAGGCTGCGGCTGCTCTCAGCCGTCACGCTCAGGGCAACAGGGTCGGCCCAAGAAGTCCTGGGTTCAGATCCAGTTCCCCTTCCCTCCAGGAACGTGATCTGAAGCGAGGGGTTGTTGCCTCTCCGGCCTCAGCGTCTCCACCTGAAGCCCAGAGTGATTGCGGCCCAATAACGGGCTTATTCGGAGGATTGGGACGAAGGCACTTCAAGTACCGGCATAGTCTCTAACGCACAGAAGTGACTCGACACGACAGGACGGCTACTATTTGGGGCTCTCTAGACGGTTTTCTACTTCCCACTGTCCCCCTTAGCCTGTGACTTCCGTGTCACTGGCAGGTAAAAGTAAAACCTTTATATTTTTCAACTGCAAATACATGTAGACTATGGCTTGTTTATTTAAATTATAAAATAATTGAGGCGATTACCAGTTTTAAGGTCTGACATTTGTCCTACATAGCCACATAAATGTCACTGTTTTTATTGTGAGAAAATGTAAATAACATAAAACATGCCATTTTAACAATTTTTAAGTCTACAATTTTGTGTCATCAATTATACACTGTCATGCAGCCATCACCATTCTCGTTTCCAGGTCTTTCCATCACCGTAAGCAAAGCTTCTGTTACCATTTAATAGTAAACCCCTCTATTTAGAATTTCTTTTAGTTCTACACTAAGTTATTCTAGTCAAATCAAATCATCTTACTTTTCACATCACACACCTGTCCGTTGAAGATAAGTAGTATATGTTTTAAGGAAGATGCTACCAGTCAGATTTGGATATTTTTATGTTTGCCAAGCAGTACTGTTATGTCTAAATCAAAGTATTCCAGTTGCAAAATATGTTGAAAGCATATGATACAACCAGGGTAGAGTTAATGATATAGTTTATACTTCCTTTTCATATTTTTAAAGAATTGTACTTTACATGTCTAAAGAGTAAGCATTTCTGTTTATTAATTAGAAGAATTTTAAAAGTTCTATTATTGAGGGGTGGTTTGGTTTTGTTTTTTGTTTTTTCAGAATTACTGGAATATTTTATTCAAACCCAAAATCATATTTGGCATGAAATAAAACTAAATCTGGCTGACATCATTTCCCTTAAAATGTAATGTACTTTTTGATAAGAGTGGATAAAACGTGACCGATCAAGGGCTTGTAATCCATTTTGTAGATCTTCAAAATGTTAGCAGGATCCTCGAAACAGATACAAGTTTAAACTAAATAGGCTGGAGTTAATCATGGTGTTCTCTTTCTTATCATTCTTAATTGTATAAAAGGAGTTCGCTAACAATTGTAATTTTTTAGGGCTTATTTTCAGAATGTGAAAGATATAATGAGAATAGTATAAATATATGCTACCTGAATTTTTCCCCACATGCCTTTTTCAATTTATTTTAAATAGATATAAATGTTTTCATTTGCAAATATTGCCGGTGTTTGGCCAGACAAGGACTTAAACTACTAACTTTCACTTCTCCGGTTAAGTGTCCAGTTATAGCATGAGTGGTCGAGTTTAGCAGATAACCTCATCTAACCAGTAATTTCTTTCATTGAGGCAACAGTCCCAACATGAAGCACGTTAGAATGTCCTAGAGAACTAAAAATACACCGTCTCTGGGCTTGAGCCACAGAGACTCTGGTTTGATAGACTTTACTCGCGTGTTTATTTGTCATAAACATCAGCCAGGGTTGAGAACCACTGTGTCCAAAGGAGAACGGGGGAGGGGAGCTGGGGTGGGACTGCGAGTGGGCGAGAGGGGGCGGGAGTGAGCGCCAGGCCTTTCCCTCGCCTCCCTGTGTAAGCCAGGCAACCCCAGAGAAGAGGAAAAGGAGGCTCCCTCGTAGATCCCGAATTGAGAAAATAAAGCAGCTTTTCTCTCTTTGTCATTGCAGACATGGAAGGACTTTAATGAAACTCACAGGACTCAACAAAAGATGCTCTAATGGATGACAGTGAACCGCCTGCAGGTAAACTTCAGATAGAACCACAAGATGGGCGTCATCCTGGTGGCGGTGTGGAAAGTGTAGGGTCCCGCTTGCCTTCTGCATCGGACGAAAATGAAAATCGACTTGACGGGTGTGGGCATGACCGCCTGACCAGCAGTGACGGTGCCATGGGCAACCCTGCAGCGTCCGAGCAGGACAGTCTCAACAACAATGCAGGCTGCACACCCAGCTGTGAGGCGGCTGCCAGTGAGACCTCAGAAAACACGGCTTGTGAAGGCCCCAAGGATGGACAGGACTTCTCGGGAAAGGACGAAAACATACCTGGAAAGAGAAGCCCAAGAACCAAGACAGGCACGGCCAGGAAGATCCCACCAGGTATTGTTTTTAATCACTGCATGTGCCATTCCTTGAAAACACATCTTGTTCCCGCCCACACTGTATCGGCCCTGCATCTCGCTCGTCTTCTCTCAGTATTGTCCGGAGCTAGTTCTACAGGCGCACAAGCAGATCCAGCTGCGTGGTATGCGGGCGTGTGCCGTGTCTCCGCAGCGTCCCACAGTGTGGGTGTACCATCCTTTATCTAACCATTTCTGTATGGCTACCCCCAGTAAGTTCTGTAATAAATGTGCTGAAATTGACATTCTTTATACATGTTTTCACACTAGATACTTTAAATACAGGGTATCCCCAAAAACTGTATACACACTTTGAATAATTATTAATCCCAATGGGTTAAATCTGAAAAGCAAGAAACATCAATTGATCTAAAAATATTAAAGTGTGTATACATCTGGGGGTGGGGAGAGAGATGCCCTGAATATATAGAGTCCTCTTCCTTTATAAATTAGACCCTTTTCTGCCAAAATTAGCCTCAAAAATTTTCTTCTGTCATCACCGTGGCTTTGATCTCTAACCTGTGAGTTTATGTGCTTGTAGAGTCTTACTCTCTATAAAGTCTTTCCAACTCACTCAGTGGGTGAATATATACAATGTTGAATAAGACATCAAGCTTTAATGATCTATAGTCACTGTGGTTACAAAGTAATTCAGAGCATAACTTATTGGGCATGTGGTTTGGTGATTAAAATTTGGAAGGAGGGACTATTTTGCCTGGATGACAGGGCAGCCCTGGGAAAAGACAGCCTCTGGCTATTTTGTATCAGAAGCAGGATGGGGGGCGGGGGTGAGGAGGCAGGGGGAGGGTTCTGGGGCATCCCCCACTGGGACTCCTTGGTCAGCGCCACTCCCAGGCCAGCCGCCTGCACCCGGCTCTGCACGGTGTGCACTGCCTCCTCTCACTGGCTGCTTTCTTCTGCGTCTGTGGCTGATTTGCCATAGTCTGTTTTTTATTGTTTTTTTGGTTGTTTGTTTTTAATATATTTTATTGATTTTTTTTATAGAGAGGAAAGGAGAGGGATAGAGAGTTAGAAATATCGATGAGAGAAAGATCGATCAGCTGCCTCCTGCACATCCCCTACTAGGGATGTGTCCACAACCAAGGTACATGCCCTTGACCGGAATCAAACCTGGGACCCTTCAGTCCGCAGGCTCTATCCACTGAGCCAAACCAGTTAGGGCCAGTATTTTTTAATTTGGAGTAAAAAATGAAATTTTCCATTTTCTACAAATCAATCCTTATTTATTCTATAAGGTAACTTGATAACTTTTTAATGCAGCTCATAATTTGACTTTCCAGTTAATTGATCCCTTTGTCTTTGCTTTTCCTTAGTAGTCTTAAGCAAATTAAAATAAATTTGATAAGCAAAATGAAAGCATTTTCTTACAAGACCTACATTAGCTATGATATATACAGTACTATTTATATAAATTGATTTATTCTTTATAATTCAAGGGAAGCTTGACTGTGCCTCTCTAATCCAATCTTGTGATATTTTTAAGAACTGAGATCTAGTTGCATATGTATCAGGGTCAGTCATAGCTTCACGATTAAGACTCCTTTTACGGTATTCCTCCCTTCCATGGCCTTATCCCAGTTTTCCTAGGTGGGATTGTATAATTTAAAGTTGCTTAGTACTTACTACCAGTGAGAAGATATGTGTAGAATTACTACCCCCTAATGCACTTGAAATAATATGTCTATAAAACCTGGGAATAGTCTTTATAAAGATTATTTTAAGCTTATTTTTTTGCATCTAATATAAAATGAGTATAAGAGTGTAAGAAGGCAAATTAAGAGTTGTAAAACCTAAGTTGAATCTTACTTCTGGTTCTAGGTCACTTGGTGAGACCTATTTGCTCTGCACTTCACTTTTCTCCTTTGTATAATGATGATGTTCATATATGTGTATCTACAAAATGCCTTGTAGAGCAGTGAGTAGGTTTCTGAATAGAAATGGTATGTCTACACTCGGTTAAGTTTGGTGATTTTACCTCTGGTTTATCTGTAGTTTTTACATGTAAAGGGTACATTTTCATTTGTACTTTAGGTTTTCTTAAAGGAAGGTAAGTCTAGGTAGGCAAAAGAATTTTAAACTGAATGAAAGGCTATTTTTAAGGGTAGAATTATCCCTTTCTGACCCGAAAGGGGCCTAAGGTGGGAAGCGTTAGGACTACCCGGGCGCTTGCCTGTTTACCCTGAGATCCCTGAGGCCCGTGCTCTCAGTCCGTGTCCAGTCACAGTCACAGTGATGGTTTCTCCCTACGACTCTCGTTAGCCTGTTCCTCCCCGTCTCCACCACACGGTCCCGGTTCCGCAGCAGCGGCTTTAGGTGGAGTCCTGCCCAGGACCCTGCGTGTGTCTCCCGCCCTGCCTCTCTGTAAGCCCCTCTGTGTGGGAACTAACACTGCAGACATTCATGCTGGGCAGGGCAGACGTGCTCTCCTCTTTACTGGGAAGTCTTAACATCCCAGACAAGTACAGTTCCAAAATTCTACAGATGAGTATTTTTCTAATAACAGAATAGTTCTAAAATGTGAAATGATATCTAAAATGTGACTTTCAATCCCAAACCAGGAATAAGCTGCTTGTCGGTAAGTGCCCTTTCAGTAGTTTTTAAGAAACATGCATTAAGGTAAACTCGCTCCTATGCTCCCTGACCTAGCTTAATTTATAGTACTTTTTCATGTACCCCAAGGCTAGTACTGTTAAAAATAAATAGAGCAATAGTATTACGATACATGATTATTTATCCATTTCCTGGAGGCAGCATTTCTATAAACCTGCTAAACCTTGAACTTGGCCTCATCCAAGTCCAGTTGTCATTATGGTGAGGGCTTATTTTTTCTTTTTTCTTTTTAAAATATATTACATTGATTTTTTTACAGAGAAGAAGGGAGAGGGATAGAGAGTTAGAAACATCGATGAGAGAGAAACATCGATCAGCTGCCTCCTGCACATCTCCTACTGGGGATGTGCCCGCAACCGAGGTACATGCCCTTGACCGGAACCAAACCCGGGACCCTTCAATCCCCAGGCCGATGCTCTATCCACTGAGCAAAACCGGCCAGGGCAGGGCTTATTTTTTCTTTAAGAGGATTTAATCCCCTTGATTAGTCAACTAAGCAGGGTTACAGGCTGCGTTACAACAAGTTTTCGCTGGCATCGTTTTAGGTAAATAATACTTTAAAAATTAATGGAAATGAGCCTATAATAACTATTTAACAGCCTTATTGAGATATACTAGTAATTCCCACCTAAATTGTACAGTACACGTCAATGATGTGTAGCTATTCAGTAGCTGTGCAGCCATTACCACAGTCAATTTTAGGACATTTTTATTGCCACACAGAAACCCCATGCCTATTAGAGTTGCTCTCCCTTTCCCCCTTAGCCGTCCCAGCTCTAGGCAACCACTCACCCACTTTCTTTCTCTATAGACTTGCCTGCTCTGGGCATTTCACATAAATGGAATCGTACAATGGATGGTCCTTTATGACTGGCTTCTTTCACTTAGCACAGTATTTTCGGATTCACCCATGTTGTAGCATGTGTCAGTACTTTGTTCCTCCCGAGGTCAAATAATATTCCATTGCATGGGTATCTCACATTTCATGTACCTGTTTGTCAGCTGCTGGGTATTCTGGCTGTTTCTACTTTTTTAAAAAAATATGTTTTTATTGATTTCAGAGAGGAAGAGAGAGATAGAAACATCAATGATGAGAGAGAATCATTGAGTGGCTGCCTCCTGCACGCCCCACACTGGGGATCTAGCCCGCCACCTGGGCATGCGCCCTGACCAGGAATCGAACTCTGACCTCCTGGTTTGTAGGTCGATGCTCAACCACTGAGTCACGCCAGCCGGGCTGTTTCTATTTTTAGCTATTATGAATAATGCTCCTGTGAACATTTGCATACAGGTTTTTGTGTGGACATATGTTTTCCTTTTGAGGGGTTTTATAAGCACAGGAGTGGAATTGCTGGATCATAAAGTAACTGTTTAACTTTTTGAGGACCTGGCAAACTATTTCCTGAAGTGGCTACACCATTTCACACGCTCACCAGCAATATATGAGGGTTATAGTTTCTCCACATTTCTCCAGGACTTGGTAATATCTGACTCTTTATTAAAGCCAGAGTTGTTTTTACTTAGAAGTAATTCACATGCCATAAATTCACTTTTTTATAAAGTAGTTTTAGTACATTCAAAGTTGTATAACCACCTAATTCTAGAACATTTTATTCCCCCCAAAAAAGAAACTCCCCTTTTTCCCCTGTCAACAACTGGGGCATAAATTTCGAATAGTTGTGAGGTACAAGTTTAGATTAAGTTTCTCATGGTCGCCATAACAACTTCAGTTATTTACTCAGCCAGTCGCCATAGTTTCTAAACATTTGACAAAACAGCTCAGCAGCTGGCAGGAAGCCAGAGGCGGCAGCAGATGCACATTGAGAAAGACCCTTCCAGAAGGACTTTGCCACCCTGCAGTGCCCAGACTTGTTCCACTGGAGGCCTTCACAGCGTGGCCGCTGGGAGGTGACAGAGAGGCCCGAGAGCTGGGAAAACAGCTCTTGAGATGGTCTGTGTCCTGCAGTCAGGCTGTGCAGTGAGGACAAAGACTTGGGTTTTGAATGTTGGCTCTGCCTGCTCCCGTGTGACCCTAGAAAAGCAGTACCTCCGTTCCCGGAGCCTCCTGCCTTGTCTGTGGCAGGGCTGATCCTACCCGTCTGGTCCTTGAAGTGAGCAATCCTGACTGTGAAGCACCTGTGGAGTTCCCAGCGTAAAGTAGGGGCTTCTAACTGGCAGCTGTCATTGTGTGTGTCACCCGGTGAGTTTTAAGTGGCATGAGTAGGAGCAGCATTCAGCAAAATCAAGACATGTGTTTAATTTGACTCTAAATCCATCTCACCTCTTTTGTCTTCATGTTTCTTCTGGGATCTTGGTAACACTCTCTTTCTAGATTCACCTGTCCCTGCC